AAACTGGCATTAACCCTGACATTACCTTGTATTCTTTCCCTGCAGTCTTGTTCACTGTTGAGACAGAGCGACCTGAGTACAGCTCAGAGTTTGGAGGAGATGTTGTTTTGGGCTGCAAGTTTCAGCCTAAACTATCTAATCCTAGTGACTACCTGAAGGTGACCTGGCACTGGACCAGGTCCAACTTGATTCGAGATGTTTACCGGATGGATAACCGGATGGAGGACTCGGCGTTTCCACATCTGGACTATCGGGGTCGGGTGAGGCTTCTCACTGAGGAGCTGACGGAGGGCTGGGCCAAGTTAGAGGTAAATACTAACAGTAACATGTTACACTTTACATAGATGGGTCATGTCCTGTGAAATTTCCTCTAATTGCTGTGGTTAACTTGTTCATACCCTTGGCAAATACTGATAGGTTAATTGTACTTAAGCAAAAGTACCCTTATTATCAGTGTTCATAGTGCTGTATTAGATAGTAAGGTACAACTGCCAAGAAGGGACAGAAAGCAGCAAGGTTTGCTGGAAATAGAACAATAAGTGCTCTTAGAGATGTGCTAAGATCATACCTCAAAGGAGTTATGGTGCACAGTAATTTTACCATTTAACATACAGTACTCCTATTACTGTGATCTAAGTCATGAGGACATCTGGGGACTCTTTTCTCTCTCACTTTACAGATCTCCAGGCTCAGGATCAATGACTCTGGAACCTACAAGTGTTCGGTGTGGACAGAAAAAGGAGCTGATTACAAAACCATAACTTTGTCTGTTGCAGGTAAGAACCAAATCTGTGACAACAGTGTAACTTTTTATGTTTTTGGCAATGACTTCGGGGGCTTTTGTTCTGGGAATGGGGTTTGCACTTTGGCCACAGCATGTGGTCATTTCTGGGCAGTTAGAGTTTTACTCATTATGAATGTGAAACTAAGATCAATATTACTCAATTTGGTAAAAAATAATGCTTTTGGCTTTCCTCAAGAGCTGTTTATAATTATAATGTCTTATCATAATAGTGCTATTATAAACACATGCTCATGATTATATATTCTTCCTTTCTGATTTTTCACTAGCACCTTATAAAGCTGTGACTAAACGCATTGAAAAGACTGCAGAGGGGGATAAGGTGCTGCTAAGCTGCCAGTCTGAGGGATACCCTAAGTCTTCTGTTATGTGGCAGGATGGACAGCTGCGTAACATTGACCCCAATACCACTGCTGTACCTACATCAGACCAGCTTTTTAACGTCACCAGTGAGATACGTGTCCAATCATCAGACAAAAACAACTACACGTGTAGCTTTACGGAGGATGGCTACACCGCAACATTTCATATTCCAGGTAAATCTTTATTTCCTTTAAGGCATTCTTCAAAGAATGTACTTGGAAGTTGTGTAATTGCAACATCCTCAGATAAAGGCTGGCTGGAGAACTTTATCCCCATATCTCCTACCTCATTTCTTTCTCTCTACTGACCATACATGTTAACCTCCCCCGCCTTTTTGTATGAATATGAATGAAAGAAAACTGAAGCAGAGTTCTTCTAATCTGAAGTTGTAGTCTGTCACAAAAATAGCAACACTGACTATAAAGTTAGATGAAGCCTTGGATATTCTCATGAAAAACACAGGAAATATAGTTATCACTTGCCTACTGCCAAACACTATGTACGGCTATTTCCTGTTATGTTCACTCTTTTGTTTTTGATATAACAAAGGTCTATCACATATGAGCTTTTCAGCTCTTGCTCACAGTTTTTTCAAAGTTACAAGATTTTACCCCGCTTTTTTTTTTAAACTGTAGGAGGTGTTTGGATTTGACCTTTGAATAACACAGTAATGTGTAGGAGTGCTATTACAAGAGATTCTTTCATGTGTGAAAATGTGTGGATGTTATTGTATATGTATGTAGGCTGTTCATGTTTCTCATTATATGTGTGCAAAGGATTGTTTGCTCTTTTGGAAATGTCTTTTGAAATCAGATAAATGCAGGTTGATCTAATGCTAAGTAAAGAAACATGGCCTGTAAATATGGCAAAAAGAACAAGGGCTGCTTGCACAGCTAATACAAAACTATTAACCAACCAGGAGTCATTGTAATAGCTGTATTTCTTTCTTTCTTGACCAGTAAGGGGAAGTTTGTTGTTGGTATATTTGGTTATTTCCATAGTGGCCACACAAATTTAAAGCATACATACAAAAGGCCAACACTTGGCCTCTCACTTGTGATAGTGGGTTTTGTGGCACATTTTGACACTAATCCTTCTTCACTCTTTTCACAGATGAAATGCCCATTGCTCCTGTACAAAGCAATGCTCCCGTTGTTGTACTGTGCATAGGAGTGATAATGTTTGTCATTATGGTTGTGGCAGTACTTATGTATCGACGACGAAAAGGTAATTAATCTCTCAATTCTTTATGTATACAGTACATTACAGCCGACCATAACAGACACAGTAATACATAGAATTCAGGTGTAGTACTCAATCAATAAAATCTACATCAGATGGAAATATGTGTATGACAGTGAACCCCAGGCATAATAACGGATTATAATCTCACATACAGGTGAAATATCAAAGTGAGAAAGTGACAAATGGCAGCATACATGTGCAATAGATTATTAATAGATTAGATAAAACAATAATCTTGGCCACTGGAGCATTCAATCTGCAGCCTGAAGGCAGCGATTGAAAGTCAAGTGTACAGTGTAGGCGAGGGCACTGCAGAGCTGGATTTCCTTTGAGGATATGCAATAATAGATTATCTGCATGAAATAGAGTGGATCATCTAGTTGTTGTGCAACTGTAACATTGTATTCCCCAGCCCTTCACTATTTCCTTGTTGTATGCATTAATACTGCATTGACTGATAAACAGCAACCCAACTGCATTAAAACAGATTTGAGAAAATATCGTAAAATTCTGCAATGACTTGGGACAGAATAGAACAGAACTAAGTTTTTAAAATAGAAATTTAACTTTATTGTCTAACCAGAAATGAAAATATGTCGTCAATCTCATCTCAAAGAACCTACGGGTACTGCTGAATTCATGAGTCAGCATCTAAAATGTATGCGTGTCAAAGCCATAGCAGCCTTGTGGTTGTTTACGTTTTATTTTTGTAAAATGGGCAGAATAATTTGTGTCAATAAACAACCACATGTCATTTCAGCTATGAAGACAGTTTATACATGTGATACATGTTGAGTCAAGTGAGAAAAGAGGAAGTGTTTTTGAAGAAGAATGGCATTTAGTTGTTTGATTAAGCACCGTAATGTCTGCTTTTTGGAATTCAGGGAATTTTATCATCATGTGATCCATTGAGCGTGTATTCATGTGAGGATGACTTAGCTATTTGAACATGTGTCACAAATGTCATCGTTGGAAACACCCAGTTCGGTCTTGGTTTGTGTGATGGGGAATTTGAGGTTATTTGTAAATGCATGGGTGATTTTACAGTACAGCACGTGTTATTTATTTGTATAACACCTCTATCATTTCAATAGTATATTATAGTATATACTTATACTGAAACACGGTTCTCCATATATATAAATGTGTGAAGTCTTACTTCAGTTATGGGACCGGAAACCTATGGATGGAATATTTAGGGTGATATCAGGTTACAATTTCCTTCTTGAACACCATAAAGTCTTGTGACAAGAGCACATAAAATACATGATAAATACAAGAATACAGGAAAAAATAACATATGTAATTAATAAAAATAAAAGTGAATAAATAAAAAGCTAAGCATAAAACTAATTCAAAGCCAAAACATTATAATACCACACCACATATCTCACCATTACTGTGTCAAACATAAAGGTAAGCTGATGCCTTTAAAACAAAGTCACATATTTTGAACTGGGTGAATGAGAACATATGACAGCAGCAAACAAACATCCACACTTCCATCTATCCACACTTAAATACACACACACACACACTGCACCAGCACACTAAATTAATAGTAATGTTTTTTTGCATAGGGTCCAATACTCCCAGTACCAGGAACCTTTTGATCGACGGTCGGGACAGGTCTGTTCCTCCTGCTGACTGTGAGTCTAAACAGAGCCAAACATGTCACTGAACACACACAACCCCTGTTGAAGTTAATTATTAGGATGTGTTATAGCCTGGCTATTATTACAACCAAAGGCAAAGCCATAACAACAGCAATAGCAAACATAGTTCATAAGCAGAAGCATCCTCTCTTTGTTTTCAAAAGTGGCCTCTATAGGGGCAAACGATATTCTGCAACAAATAGGTCTCTGTTGCGTTTTTTCAAATTGCTGATGATGCATTTGTAAAATATCCATACTCTAGATGAAAGACACCCACAGTTTCTGTCACTTTACATGAAGAAGGTCAATTTCGTATACATGTAGAGGCATCCAGAAAGTCTACTCATAATTTCCTCCTCCACTGCGATGATTAATTATCTACTATCGATATCATCTATTCTTTGGTTGCCTGGCTGTGCTGCCTCTTCATCACTAAGTTGATTGGTTGTTGTGCTGTGGATATCATTTGCATGTACTTTGTCGCTACATTAACTATGCAGTGTGTGCAGCAATTTACTCATATACAGAAAATAAAATTGGTTGTTTAATCAATCATTTGCAAGTATGCTTTAGTGGCTCCCGACCTGGGGGTCGAGACCCCCACTTGAGGTAACCAAAGCTTCACATGTAGTCACAGGGCCTTCTTGATGTTAAAGGGGGTGAGAAAACATAAAAAATATGCACAGTGCCTGGGAATATAGCTCTGTGTATATAGGTCTATATATAGCTGTATATAGCTCTGGTCTCTGCTAAACAGTCTTGTCTTGCATTAGAAAAGAGCTAACAGAAACACAGCCAAGTATCAGGCAGAAGAAAACTTTGAATTTGTCAAAAAGGTACATAATACAGACAAAGATAAAATTCCTGATGCAATATTCACTGGAAATAATCTGCTGAAACTTAATCCAAATCGATAGTTTTACACAAAGTTCCTGCAGTTATTGTATTTGGGTTCATTGTACAGTTTATCAGTTGTTCTCTACTGTTATTGTTGCATTGAATATAGTATGAAATATCTATAAAATATGTCACTTAGGGGTCATCAGTTTATTAAAAGATAGAAGGTTGGGAACCACTGCTTTAAAGGGTCGTATTACCTGCAGTCGGCATGTCCCCAGTTGGGAAAAGCAGACAGGAGGACCAGCATGGAAGCTAGGCAATTGTACTGTTGTGGATGGGGTCAAAGGCCCACCTTTGAAATTCAATATCATTTCAGGTGTCTGCTATATTTAGTTATGAGTATTTTCACCACATTACCTTGCTATCAAACAGCCCATTCCGACAGGAAACTGAAGCGTTTAAATTGATCTATGCCCTCTTCAAAGCAACCAGAGTCCTTTGTCAAGAACAGTAACAGGCAGCGGTAGAACTCATGTGGAGGAAAAAATGACTGTTGTCAGGTGTCTGTTTGCTTTGGAGAGAGCAATAAAAATGCTTCAGTTTCCTTTCAGAAAGGGCTGTCTGATGGCAGGATAAAGCGTTGAAAATACTGTAAATAAAGTGTACACTTAAACTGATATGGATTCTTTTAGGTGGGGCTTTTTAGCCTTACATTGCTTAGCTTCTGTGCTGTACTCCTATTTGCGTCTCCAAACTGGGGGCTTGCCCACCTCCGTCTACTGTATGTAATGCACTGGCTATAGATGTGTACCTCATACAACCCCACTTCAAAAAACCTGAACTAACCATTTAACTGTAAATGGTCTAAATGTCCCCTTGTGCTACAAGTGACCAATGTGGTTTAACCAAATCTTAGCAAGCCGGCAACCAAACATTTGCACAGTGTTTTTATTTTTTATTAGAGGAGCTAAACCTCAAATTACTTTTTACAGGTTAAAAATAAACAACAGCTACGTGAATGCAATAAGTCCTACGGTTAAAGGTGTATGTGTGAAATGCTCAAAGAAGGTTACTTGACTGAAATATAGCAATAAATGAGCATTAGTATGGACTCAATACGTATTCTCCAGAATACAGAAGTGCAAAGATCCCCTTATCTGTGAAGTTAGTACATTACAAAGTAGCTCTGTTTTATATTCAATTAAGTTTGACTTGCGTAGATGTGGATCTAAGTGGATTTATGCTACCCTGTAGCAGTGTTTGATTTATTCACTAATTAATGACTTCAACTCATTAATTCAGTACTTATGTACATTTACTATTGTCTGTGTAAGATTTCTAACAGTGCTGTTCTTTTCTTTCAGGTCAGCAAATAAATAAAGAAAATGAGGAAGAGATAACTATTTTTAATGAAGGTAAGTCACTCTCATGATTAGGGCTGCAACAAATTATTATTTTCCTTAGCGAGTCATCTGCTGATTGTTTTCTCAATGAATCGTTAGGTGTGGTGTCTTTAAAGTCAGGACTATTTGTAACATTTAGGAGGATTTATTGTCACAAATGGAATATAATATTCATAGGTATGTTTTCATTAGTGTATAAGTACCTGACAGTAAGAATCATTACCTTAGAATAAGTTGTTTTTATCTGGTTGCCTGGTTGTGTTCCAGGAAGGCTGCCATGTTGAACCGCCATTTTTTTATAGTAGTCCATGACGGATAAACCAAACACTGGATCTAGATAGGGCCAACTGTGTTTTTTTGTGCATCGTTTCTCCTTTGCATATAGAAGGAGGGTGAAGCGAGGGAACTAAAATATGCAACTACACTGCTAGATGCCACTAAATCCTACACACAACAATGCAAAATTCCAAAGATATTCAATTTAATGGCCACTTAAAATATAGAAAATCAGCAAATCCTCACAATTTAACAGATTAAATCAGTGAATGTTTGGTATTTTGACTTAAGTTATTAATCAATCGTCAAACTTGTTGCCAATCATGTTTTGGTCAATCAACTAAACGATTCATCAACTAATTGTTTCAGTACTAAAAATGATCATACATCATTATTTCTATTTGACACTGAATAAAGACCTGTTGGTTTGTTTGCTTTCTTCCTGTTCTTTTAAAAAATGCCTGGTGAAAGTAGGATTAATGCAAAACACTCTGTGTTAAACGATGTTAAATGATGTTTAACACCAACCTTAAAACACACTACAAAGGTCTTACTGTACTAAACTACTACTTTACTGTACTAAATACACTGTAAAAATAGCTACTGTACTAAAAACATCTAAAGGATGGATTCACATTATTTTATACCTCTTCATCAAAGGAGACTGCTGTGATCATGATCAGTTTTGTTTTCGATGCCTGCAGGTTGCACGGAGGAAAATCTGGGGGCGTTTCTGAAAGCCCATTATTCCGACTTATCTTTCAGCACTGATTCGAGACACTGCTGGAACAATTTCAACGTCGAGGAGTTGCCTCAAAGACTGCAAAACAAGTGAGTCACAAACACTTCTATGATCTTATTTCCAGTAACAGCAACAGTTCAAGTTTTCCATTCATCATTCATTCATCATTTTAGTTATGCCCTTTTCTCTTTGATCCTTCCCCTGAAAAATATATAAAAATATATGCACTTCTTTATCAAAAAGATTGAGGTCATCAAACCTGTTGTTTCCCCAGACACAAGTATTTTACCTGTTCATTATAACCCATTTAAAACTCCAGCACTGCCAAGATGGCTATATTGGCCAAAAGCATACATTTGTGAATCGGAGTTCACCAAAAATTTGGATGGACTTTACCCCTGCTAGCAATTCCAGAAATTGTAGGAATTCCATGGAAATTAAGGATTTTGTGAAACATTGTAAATGTGATGTTTAAATGTTTAGACTTTAAGAATCAAAACTATGTGTGTTGACAGCTGACATTTGTATGGGCCTGTGTACTTTACACTCACAATTTGTGTTGTTTCGTTGTTTTTTATCAGTAAGGGGCGGCCAGTGAATCTTCAAGCTTTACTCCCAGAAGCTGGAGAGACACTTTTTCTTGAGGCACCCCCAGGAAGCGAGAAGACAACCGTAGCTCATATCCTGATCTCTTCTTGGACCGAAGGGCCCGCACATGCCCTCGCTCACATCCTCGACCTCAGTGCCCTTCAACTTCTCTTATATGTCGACTGCAGCAAAGTGAAGGGTGACTTGTTTCAGGAAATAAAGACTCAACTTTCTCTCACGGAAAAGATATCAACAGAGGATGATCTGAGGACTGTGTTAACCAGGTCCAGTGAGGTTCTACTGCTGTTGGACGGGTACAGAGAAGGGAACCAATTTTTTGATGAGTCCTTGAAGAGGTTTCTAAGCGAAAGAGGAGGATGCAGGGTCCTGGTCACGGCCTGTCCAGGACACTGCCTCACGCTCAAGGAAACAGTGGGGACAGGAAGGGTGCTGGAGCTCCAGACACAGACTGCAAAGTACTGAGGGCGCACACGTTTGTGACCAACAAAGATATTAAGCACATGTTACATTTTGTTATATTTGTTACAAACTTTGTATGATGTCTATTTTTTTTATGCTGAATGTGTGGTTAGATTTTGTAAATGCCCAAATATGCTGCATAATGTTGTGAATTGAATTTAGTTATATAAAATGTGTGATAAAAACTGTATTGTTGTATTTGTATTCTTTACTTGACAACCCTGATTGTTATTTGGATTAAATAATTACATATAATTATTCTTTTTGACGATTAAAATCCCCTTTACCCAATCCCTGTACCATTAGGATGAGAAACTCCACGGTACAGTCGGTAATCCACTTTAGCTTTGTTCTCCCCATTCAACAAAGTGGTTTCAGCTACACATCAAACTCTCTGTTTCCAGTAGAAGTAATAGTTGAAACAGTTGATTAATGATTGCAGTTGTTTCTGTTTCTGTTCTGTGTCAGTCCGCGAAAAAGAGAGAGGTCATTATTAGAGACGTTTGTTAAACTGCAAGCAAAGCAGCAACAGTTTCTATTAGTAAAAAGAGAAGTGACTGTCAGTATTCCTGTCAAGAGACCTCACTGATTCCAGTAACATTTGATAAAAAGGCTTTTTTTTATTCCTGTATCTTCTTCATTCACAGTAATTGCATTTCACCAAGTGTATGAGTAATTTATAATTCATTCAGTCAGCATATCCTGTTGGAAATGTGTATTTGACTCATCTTTCACCCACGCTTATTCTGTTTTGCTGTGGTTATCCTCGACAGCTACATCGGCCTTCAGACAGATTCAGAGAGGAACTGTCACTGAATGCCTCATTGTGTTTCATTGCACTGCAGCTTCTTTCTGGCTGTGTGATCAAAAGCTCTGCAAAGATCAACAAGTTTTATTTTCTTTATCTCTTTCAGTCTAAGGTTTAATTGACCATATAAATTGTGAAGTGAAAGTCTTGAACGGCCTGAGTAGTTGCAGGTGATAGGATATGGTGATTGAGGATGGCGGGATCTGAGAAGGCATGCTGGCTTCAGAGAACTTCAAACAGTCAGTGAACAGAAAAAACCCCCTCCCCTGCAGAGGACATGGGTTCTTATCTTCACACCAGTGTTATTTTTATTTTGCCACATAAACAGGTGCAGGCAACAGCAACTGCATTTGTACACAGGCTTTTGCAACCTAGAACCTGCACTAATCTCTATTTTTATAATAGCATTCGGTCAAATTATTATGTGTAAGCACTGATAAACTCTTTGTATGCCACCTGCATGTCACCAAGCACACCGACAAAGTTAGTAACTAGCTGGTGAACATTATGGGGAATTTCGCTATAAAGACATATTTTCTTATTATTATTTGTGTAGATGCAGACACACTGAGTACACATGCATTTTTCCATATTTTTTTCCTGTCTCCTAATACTCAAACCTTTTGCAGACCACCTTGTCATACTCCACTTCATTTTACATAATTTGTGCACATTTCATTACTTAGTTCATCATACTTCCTCATTCTAAGTTTGCTTGACTTTTAAAAGACAAACTTGCAGATTCTTGTGCAAAAAGAAACCAAGGGAACAGCTTAGGTAATAAAATGATCATACATATTACTAGAGATAAATGAGGTATTGATATACAGGTATTGTGATACATTGTACATTATAGTAAAACTACAGATTAAACCAGGATTATATACTGTGCAGCTGCTGTTATACAAAACGTTATAGCTGTTATATAAAATACAAACTAAAAGATAATAAATAATCGAATTAGACTTTAAAGCAAAACTATCCCCCAATATTACTCATGATTGTGCTTCATTGCTTTGTTCTTAAAAGGAAATGATTTGGCTTTATCATCTTTGTTATCAGCTGTTGCTTGTAAACTATTTATGAGCACCTTCCTCCTTCAGCGCAAATACCGTAGACACTGCATGGGAGATTATCTGCTTCTCTCAGCAAGTTAATGAATACATCCTATAATCTCTCTTCCCAGCTGTGATGAATTCCCTTGTGTTTGTTCATGAACTGGTAAAAATCCAGGAGGCCAGTCCAGAAAGACTTTAACCGTCAGCATTATCTGAAGAGGAAAAGGAAACTGTTTCATTAAAGAGTTATCAGGTCCTATCATCCTGTTCTTACTGACTGCCCTTATATGTTTCATAAAGGTTTCTCTCCTGACTTTAATCAAAACATTGTCATCCCAAAACATAAAACAAATTTTATGATTACATGCAAACATGATGTGCCACAGTTGACATTATCACATAAGCTAGGGCTTAGTTCATTAATGAAAAATACTGTTACTTTACACTGTAAACTCAAGGATTACTGTAAGAACTCTGAATCAAGGGAAATACCATGTGTTGCGATATTTTGAAAAAGAGGACTTTTTGCAACATACTGATGAACCGAAGAGAAGTGGTTTATGATGCAAGAAGGGGTTTGACCACCATGAAAACATGTCTTTACTGTAACACAAATTGTCAGTGAGAAAACTACCTTTAAAAGCCCCCTTTTTTTAAGCTTAAGGGAGTGGACTGTTTGATATTAACAAGATTGATTTTTGGTGAAAAGGTTGATTTTGGGTGAAAATTGTATTTTTTTCTAGATTCAGTTGCA